GCAAACAATTGCGCTGATCTATATTGAACAAATAATAGCCAACTTTAATTGTAAAGTAATTTCTAACGTTCAGCATCATAGTTCCATTGCAGAAGTGGCTATATACAGGTTTCGATAATCAAGCTCACAAACCTTCTGGATACTCATCGGATCACAAGCAACATAGCGCGCGTAGACCAGCAAGCCGCAGAAGCACGAAAGGAAAAGTGCCACGCATAGAAAGGGAAGATTAAGAAAGATTACCCTAAAATAAAATCAGGACGAAAAGAGCATTAAGGAACTGTTGCCTGTTCTTGTTTAGACCTTCCTAACACGTTTGGCTATTGATAATGGCAGCTTGATTCCACCTAGATGCCTAAGTGGCCCAGGACAATTACATTTTACAGGACCTGAACGATTGCCGTCTGACGGCTATGACAAAAATAATAATCGAAGGTTTCATGCAACTATCATACATAACATCAACGATTTTCATTCAAACTGCCATATTTATCAAAAAGAAACTGTGTACATTGTTCTGACTCTATTGATTCATCTGATTTAATTTCGGTTTTTTCTATTTAGGTGAAGGCGTACCTGCAGAGCATGTTTTTAGAAGGTGCTCTACATTGTGATCTTAATGGTCGACTGTACTAAGGTCGGATTGTTCGCCAACGTGTCCCCTTTCCGGGACTTGTTGGCGGACCAAATCCGCAGAAAATGACCATACAAACTGCGCGGAGCCACACTTACGACTCGCTCTTTTTGGCGAGTAGGGCCCGCTCAGACCATAATTGAGCCTGCCTTTCAAACAATAGGTCTTGAGATGCGTAGGAGTCTCTAAAATTACCTAGAGTCCCTCAAATGTACAGTGTGTTACGGCGATCCCTCGTGACCGGTCTCCCGGACGGGAAGTGGACGTCGTGAAGTTACGCAATGAAAGATGTACGAAAAAGATGATTTTTTCCTAACCAAATTCTACTTTAGTATGATCCTCTTGAGACGGCTAAGTGGGGCGAAATAGGCCCGTATTCCCTAGTACAGCCAACTCCCTTTAAGTCGTCAAAAAAATATGTAATTAGAATACAAATATCATACATTTGTAAACGAACACACGTAAGTCACATAAACGTCTACAGATCCATTTCGACCAATATATATATCAGATGCAGAAGGCTATCTGATTGAAATATTCTCATATCGTCCCAAAATATCATCCGTCGCTCTCTAACCCGTGGATGTTTTGGCCGCATATACATATTAGCGGAGATGATTTTTATACGAGAAGCGTTCTAATATGCTCGGGACACGCATGAATAAATCGCTCGGACGTCTCTTCACCACGTCTAACGCAACAAGGTCCTTTTCCATTTGCATTATTTTTAAATCCCCCTATCTTCTGTTACAGTGCCCACTTTGGCAAACTGAACTAACACGGTCCCGCATATTGTGTATTTGTACTTGGCTTAGAAATCTAGCCATTTCTTGGCATTCATACCAAGATACCCTTGCAGGATCACTCGCATGCCTGAATATACTTGTTTCTGCTAGCTCCACCCAACGGTGGAGCCATGGTGTTACGAGTAGATGGTCATGGGCGGCTGAGATGAATATTGACGCATTCTAGGACCTGCTGCTTCTTCAGCTAACTGCAGGTCCTTCGCTTGCCTGCAAAAATGTTTCCTTCTTCTAATTGTGACCTGCTCGCAGCAGACAGAGATATTTTTTCATCGTAATAATACTATCAACTATTACTACGCATAATAAGAAGCAAACGAGTACACAGGGGTGCGACACGCGGTTAAAGGTTAATGGCCTCGTGTTGGCTTGACCCCACTGTTTTATTAATATATACACTCTAATGAATACCCATAAATAGTCACAAAAGTATCAGAGAGTATATTAGATGGCTAGCACTTCTAAGGACTTGTCCTTAGATGAGGAACATAGGCGTAGCGATGGGAAGGACGCCGCAAACTGTCGACTTTATGAAATATTATCAACTTACATAATCTTCTTGAAATTCATTTACACACGTCCTTAGATGACTGGTCCATGCATTCTATCTGTTTCCGTGAGTACAATTTATTTGAAACGTGTCATAGTAAATTTTAATCTTTCCGAACGCTTCATGTTCAATGGAAGTAAGCTTTGGTCTTATTTCTTTATCAACTTTTATGATTTTTGCCACTTGCATGGGAACTTACTCATTTCGTTTCTTTAGAAACCTGGCCATAAGAATGTTTATGACGTCTCCAAGGGTGATTTCGATAAAAAGTGATAATATATGGCAACATTATTTGCCGAGGTATCGTGGATGACAGTTAATCTCTGACTGAATTCTCTGCATCTTGGCCATCCTAATTCTTCTGCTATGAGATCAAACATTGTCATGCAATACAACTGGTTTACTTATATCCACCGATCTTTGAATTACTTAAAATGAACGTTCTTCAATATTAGCTTCAATTGTTGATGCGGTATCTCTGTGAACGGTCTTCAACTAATAGACGCGCATCTCGAATGCGAAAAACCGTACCAAAAAATAGCATAATTACTCTGTTATAACATAACGCCATCTTGAAAATTTGCCATTAAAAAACCTAATACACAAATTTAACATCCTTCCACTGCATCAGTATCTTTTCCCTCCTCGTCATGTTTTCTAGCCGTTTTAAGTGTAGGAACAGCTGCAGAGGCCAAACTGCAGCGTCTATTAGGAGACAGGTGTTCTTGTAGTAGAAGCAAAAGAAGTCGTTATAGCAGTTGTCTTGCAGATGTTTGGTGCCAGTTAGCTGCGCTGTATGTGTCGGTACGTGTGGTCACTTTCACTTCCTTTCGTATTTCTTTTATTCTCGCTTCTACTGCAGACCTTTTCAGGATAGGATAGCGCCGGGCAGAGCATTGACGATTGACTTCTCTGGACGTTGCCGTTACTATCGAGTCGCTTCCGCCGCTGCTTCTGCTGGTGCTTCGTAATACCTAGCCTTTCGTGGACCTTGTTTCACGTTGGCTTGTAGTATCGTCATTGGTATGCTGGTGTTGATGCTGTTATTGTTGTTGTGTGTGTGTGTGTGTTGTATTTCCGTGTGTACTAGAACAATGGCAAAAAACCTTGGCAAAAAAGGGTGGGCCTTGGAAGTTGAGGAGAATATCGGAGTAAGCAGACGACCATCGCAAACTACAATGAAGCCAGAGTGGACGACTTCGACAGCAACGTTGCTCGACCCGTGAGTGATATGGCGACGTCTACCAGACAGCAGTAGTTTGCGCAGGAGCCATCCGTTCGTCCTCTTCCTAGCAGCCGCTATAGGCTGCAGCCACCATCTTTCAGGCCTCCCGTCGCCGCCGTTATCCGCTGTGTTACGGTCCTACAACCACCGGGCAGGCCAGCTGCGAGGTCGCCAGCAGAGACCTCTATAGAAAAGCCTCCAGCAGCATCAATAAGAGAAGCAGTCGTGGCAGTGGTACGAACGGTTGCGAACGCTTCGTGGTTAGCTTTGGAGGGGTTTAAAGGTGGACGGGACGATCCGTGGTTGTAGTGGGGATGGTGGCAGACTCTGCAGCGGCCGAGCTTCCAGTAGAGGTAAGGGTTCCCACGCCAACAACTCATTAAAGCAGCATCCGATCTCATTACACGTTCACTTCTTCTGGGGGTGGAGGCAACTGCCATGAGGCAAACAGCAAAAGCAGGAAATGGGTTGGGGTAGGGATTGTTGAAATGAGGAAACGTCTGTGAAGGCTACAGGAAATCGGGAAACACGACCATCGAAAAAAAGGTTTCCTCTCACCCCTCGGAAAAAAAACGTGCTAGCTGCGGATAAAAGGAGCAGGAGGTGGGGTTTGAGGCATATGCGAGCATTAGCCGTCCTCAACGGGCTACTCCCACCAACACCACAAACCCGTTGTGCTTAACTATAGCCCATCAGACTGTAATCGGTAGGCATACCCGAGCAAACCAGACAGAGACCGTATCACTCTATCCAGCAGCAGCAGAAATGGCGGCTAGCAAAGCCAAGCCGTAAAAAGAAATACGCGAGAAAGAAGAGAAAGCTTGACCACAAAAAGAAAAGTGTACGAGAGCGCCTCCTGGTTGTGAGTTGAGCTAGCTATGTATGTGCGTTGTCTTTGGCATCTGACGGCTGGTAGATTAGCACAACAGAGTAGCCCTAGTTGTTGTAGTAGTTGAGCGTGACGTACCATACGTTGCTGTGGTTCTCTAGGATCGCCCGGTACCGCACAGAATCAGCGATAGAAGCGCAATACTTTTCTAGTCCCGTATTACATTTGCCTTGTAAGCATACGTAATGATTGCGTTGTTGATGTGTTGTGCATTTACTGTCGTAAGCGCCGTGCTTCGTGCCTGTCTGTCTGCTTACGGCCATGCCAAGTTTAGCAGAGCTTTTCTCCTGCCATTCTTCTCGCCGCTGGTTGTTGTATATACATTGCACACTGGCGGCATTAGTTAAGCAGTGCAAACATATAGATAGCGCTCACGGTCGGATTTGCCCAGCTGCTCCCCTAGGCCTTATCGGGAAAATCTTTCTCCTCTCCCTCGCCCTACCTCTATATCAATTCTTTCGACCAACTCTCGAGCTTTCGTCCTGCGTTGCACTCGCATAGACATCAAAAGGCAAAAACAAACGGCGCCGAAGCGACAGTGGAAAAACAGAAACTTGTGCTAATGAAGCGACCGAGTAGCGCATATCAGCAGGCCATTTGTTTGAAACGTACAAGTGTGAATTATATAGTACGTGACGTTTGACATACATATAGCGCATTCGGCATTATTGAGCTATATTAGTCCGTGAGCATTTGAGCCAACAACAGGGTGAACTCATTCTTTTAGGACCAACAGAATCATTTCGGTCAGCTTCTACGGGAACATTATAAACATATGATTTTTCACGTGATATTTTGATACTTTACATTTTCGTACCCCTCTCCGTTACGAATTTTCGGCGCTAATTCATTTCCCAACGCATGTCTGTATATGTCATTGACTCTGTTTTTAACCTTGTCCAGCATCGTTTTTCCCCGTCAGGACCTGATCGATCACCATCACTTCACATGTAAGGCTATTATATGGATGCACACAACATGGAAGGTTAATCGTAACCGTGGTCCTCTGGTCGTCTTTTTTTCGACCGCCTGCTATTGCTTCATCTGCGGTTACTATCGTTGCGTATTAAAGTCTTCTTACACGGAGATTGTGCAATAGCAGCGGCAAAGGCGCGGTAACTGCCGTATGCTTGCTAGTGTGCC